CAACCCTTCTGGAATTCCAGGTCACCCGCCACAGACGGGGACGGGGACCCTGACGCTCCTCCTGTCCGACATCAATGCCAACGCCCCGAGTCTGCACCCGCGCTCTCGGTACCTGGAGGTCTGCGAGTCCTCGGAGCCCGAGCCGCTCCTCATTGAGGCCGAGGATGGCGACCTGGAGCCCTCCTCGGACCCGTTTACTTTTGAACTGGACACCACGCAGGGACATGCAGGAGACACGTGGAAACTGGGGGAAAATCGGGGTGAGTGCACAGGCCAGGGGTAAAGGACCGCGGTGACAGAAACCGGACTCAGAATTGGGCCCAAAGGGATTTCCTGGCGTCTGTGACTGAGGGGCCAGGCAGCCTGTGCCCCTCTGGGCCATGTCCAGGTACCCGAGCCGTCCCTGGCGCTGCCCATCCCTCCCTCGGCACCACTGCTCTCTGGGTCCCTTCACTTTGGAAGGTTCTCCTCTGGGGGCCGAAGGGTGGCCCCAGGAGTCCTGGAGGCTCATGCCAGCACCTGGAGAGAGCACTTACCTCCCCGCATGGCGTGGGTCACCTGTCCTGCTGGTCACTGTGGGTCGCAGTGGGGAGGAGCTCGCTTTCTGGCTGGTCCTGAGCCCTCACCTGGAGCGGGCTGGGATCTGGCATTAGCCTCTCCTGACTCACAGGGGCTGGGGGCTCAAGGATGTGGGCTTCTCCAAAGGGGAACGGGGATGCTCTTACCAGGAGGAACCACTGGCATCTGCCAACAGCACCCTCCTCTGTGCTTTACGAACAGACCAGTGGAGCGGAGCTTGCTTTTTCAGTTGAGTTCCTGTGTTCAGTTCCCTGACCCAGTGTGTGGCAGCGCCCTGAACCTCTCCCCACAAGAGGTCTGGCCTGGGAGCACATCCTCAAGCCCTGGGATCGTCCTGCCCGATAAGAGGGTTTGCCTGGGGGTTTGTGTCAGTCACCAGAACAGAGTGTCTCAGGTGGGGCTTTGTGTCACATGGACAGCCAACCAGGCTTATACGACCGAGGCCAATAGAGACTCAGGATGCCAGGCTTGGGGGCTTCCCTGCTTGACAACGGTCACTCACCGGTGTCCTGGCTCCACGTCTCTGGGCTCTGCCCTGCGTGCTTCTGCCCTCGGCTGGCCAACATGCGAGCCCTGAATTTGCAGCTGCTGTTGGAAGTGAGGGCACTTGGCCCTCACTTGGCAATGGCCCCTCTAACTCTGCATCTGGTTAACTCTTGTATAGAGCCCTGACTCCTAGTGGCCTTTGTAAACATCTGTGGAGCAGTGGAAAAACGTGGGAGTCCCTGCATTCATGACTCCCTTCCCTTGCAGGTCGGTCGGTTGAACTTTTAATGCTGAGAAGCTTGCCTCCTGGCGATTACTCAGTGCCACTTTCCATCGGAGATGGACAGGGCCTTTCCCAGAAGCAGACTGTCCACGTGAGGGTCTGTTCCTGTCCTGGCGGAGCCACGTGTGCGGCGGAGCGATTAGCTGCCGGACCAGAGCTCCCTGTGGGGGTCCTTGCTCCTCTCTGCATGGTGTTCCTGGCTCTGGCAGGTCAGCGGTCCAGGCCATAAGCTGGGAGAATGGAGCCCTCTGGGGTGGGGAGCAGGTGATGGCAGACAGCAGTGGGATGCTGGGAGAATGACCTGGAGGCTCATTGAGTCCCAGGCTCAGATCAAAGGTGGCTGACCTGGTCAGACATGCTGTCTGTCTGGCAAAAGGAGCTTCTATTTAGTGAGCAGCAATCTACAGCAGAGGAGCCACAGGGCGACCCGAGGTTTGTAAATGGGGCAGCAATACACGGATGTCTGTCTGGGCTTCTGGGCTCCTGGGCTTGGGGAAGGCAAATAAGGAAACTAGATTTTCAAATAAACACCATATTTCCGGTTACATGGCATTAGTCAACCAAGTCAACAAACAGTTACCTAGCACCTGTGCCCCAGGCTGTGCAGAGCTCTGCAGTTACTAAGATGATTAAGGCACGTCCGACCCTGTCATTCATGACCCTGTCATTCACGACTGAGGTCCAAGTTAACAGACGGCCCTGTGAGGCCTCTGATACAGACGGGCTTGTTTACCTCACTCCCCTTTGTCTCATCGCAGTCGCTCTGCTTCTCGTGCTGCGATGCGATTGCGTGTCTGGAGCCCAGAGGCACAGCTGCCCCGCCCTGCACCAAGAGGGCCTGCAGACCCTGATCATGTACAACGACGAGAGCAGAGCCATCGCAGGCCAGGTAAGGAAACAGCACTTTGTGTTTCGTGACAATGATGTCGATAATAAATCTACCTATTTTCCCACTCACTGTGCCCGCCTCTCCTGTCTTCACTCTAATTTGAGTAACAAAAGGGAAACATCCCCAATGTTGTCCAACTTAACTAAATTGATTTATTGCTTTAGGTCCCTGTTTCTCGATGGGGGGTGGTTTTGCCCCCCAGGGGACATTTGGTAACATCTGGAGACAATTTTGATGGTCACACTCGGCTGGGGGGCGGAGGGGGGAGAGGATGCTTTTGGTACCTAGTAGGTGGAGCCCAGGGATACTCTAAACACCCTCCAGCGCCCAGCGTGGCCCCGCAGCAGAGCAGTGTGTGCCCAGTGTCTGCAGTGCCGAGGTTGAGAAACCTTGTTTAGGAGAAAATGCCTTGACCGGTGGTTTTCTCAATGGACAATGTGCGGGGCTTACTAATCAAATGAGCCCACAGCTTCTTGGCTGTGGCCTGAAGTAAGGCAGAACCACCCCCCTTCCTCAAGGGCAGAGGCTGAGCACCGCTTGCTGGCCTTAAAGAGACAAGACCCGGGCTTTGCATCTTATTAGTTGCGCCATATTGAGCACATCACTTAACCCCACATCCTCCTCTGTGTATCAGGGATAAAAATCAACCCAATGGCTTTCTTGGGGATCAAAAAAGACCATGCCCTGGAAGCACCCACAGTTGCCCGGACACCAGCCCTGCCATATCTCAGCTGTCCTCATAGCCCCCCTCAGCTTGAGTTTGCCATGAGATGGAAGCACTGTGAATGTCCCTGTCTGTCTTCATTAAGAACTAAGGTGGCTGATCTAAAAAATAAAAGCCAAATGTCAAAAGGCAACACCTCTTGGTCACAGTGGCCGCAGGTGGCCCACCTTCTGTGGTCTTAGACCTCACCCATGGTGTTCTCCTGGGAGGAGAGTGGTTGCAACACAACATGCTCTTGGGAAAAGACCTGCTGATGGATGTTGGCTTCATGCGCGAGTAAATAGGGAGACACTCCGCAAGGTGACTGGGGGTTGGAGAAGCTGGTGGTCCTCCAAGACTTCTTGGATTCTTCCTCGCATTCTCTTCCCTACTGGCATGCAGCAAGGGAGAAGCATGTAACAGCCTTGGGTCACGCTGCAGATGTATGTGCACGCCTGCACCTCCACACAGGCCCACTGAGCCCTTCCTGGTACAGAGAGGAGACGGCAGGAAGCATGGTCCAAACTCTCCACATAGCTTGGTCCTCCCTCCACCGCCCCCCAGCAATAAGAGCAGCAGTTCCCCAGTTTGTGTCATTTGAAGAAGGAAACTGTCTTGACAACCCGCAGTGCTTTGTGTAACAGACAAACCATCCCTGCCCGCCCGAGCTGTGCTTAGTCCCTTGCTTGGTGGGGTGGAGCTGGGGCTGCTGAGCTTGGAGGAGTTGGGGGAAGTGGCCTCGCCACGCACTGGCTGCCAACACCGTTCAGGGGGAAGGGGTAATGGCGGTGCCCCGGTGCTGTTCCTGTTGGCCAGCGGCTCGGTGGTGCTTTCCTGGAAAGAGGAAGCAGCCACAGAAGCAGGGCATGTGCAGCTTGTCATCACAGCGCTGAGGCCAGGCAGGTGGAGGGAGTCTGGTGGCCAAGGGCACTGGCCAAGAATCAGCTGTCGGAGGGAGGAGCGCATGCAGGACAAGGGTTCTCTGTCCTCTTCTAGTCCCACGACATCCTCCCTCTCATCTCTAACTCTCAGCTCAGGTGTCCTCTGATTAACGTTGGCTTTATGCTCCATTCCTGCCAAGGTCCCCTTAGGGCTCTGAGAACAGGGCACACAGCAAACCTGGGTTTAGATCACAAAACTGTGGTTACATAATCTAGGTGACCCCCGACTTGCACATATAAAGTGAGATTAATAATGTTCTCTCTGACTTAAATTTATTGGACAATTTAACCAAAATATACATGTGAAGTTTTTAGCACAGACTAGGGTATTGGCAGACACACAATCAACAGTGACTGCCAATATTAGACTTACTGACAGCAATTACTAATTATGTCTTTGTAACCACTGGTTACATCTCCGTGAGTGCACGCTTCTCCATGATCATCTCACCTGAATGCACCTGCTACACCTGCGCACACTCACCTGGGGCCTTCCGTGCTCCTGGGAGGACTCGCCTCATCCGAGATGCCTACCGTTGATTCCACCCTCTGTCGACCACAAACAAAAGTTGGTCATGTATTCCATCAGGAAGAAGGAAAAAGAAAGGATTAGGACCCCACAGCGCGGACCTGGTGAGCCTTGCCTGTGAGGCCCTGAGAAGGAGGAAGAGGACGTGGAAGCAAAGGTGCGGGCCGTTGTTCCCATAGAGTTCCTCCCACAGTTCTCCCGCCGACACAGGCCCGCCTGATTCCTGCCGGGTCAGGGTCTCCATTGGCCTCGGATGCGCATGAGGAAGGTCTGTAAGATTGTGTGATGCTTCCCATTTCTAAGGGGAAGCGGGTGAGTTCTCAGGAGAGAAATGCAGCTGCCGTCAACATCTGAGCCCCTCAGCGAGTAGTTGTTGGATGACGAATGAAGGAGATGGTGCATGCTGCACCGCCAGAGCCATCGTCGCAAGCCTCAGAGGACTACCTTGTAGATAACGAGCCGCTGTTGAAACGAGGGTTTCTAGCATTGCTTAACGTGAAACACTGAGCCAGAAGCCCCACTTCCCCACCGTCAGTTACAGGAGCCCCGTCCCTAAATGACTGCACTTTATCTGCAGGACAGCCGTTGGATGTTTTCTGGGATGGCCTGTGTTCGCGTTGGGGGAGATGTTATTCCTTGCTTTGTGCCTTATGCTTGCCATCATTATTTCAGCCCTGTGTCTCACAGATAGGGTCAGAGGTCAGGAATCAGAAGCCAGCCCTGCCCACCCACACAGCGGAGGAAGGCGCTGCGCTGGGTGCTAAGGTAAGCGTGGCTGCTGGGCTGCGTGGGTTTAAGGTGGCTTTGCAGATGGTTTCTGTGGCAGGAACTGCCTGGCTGTTCTCGCACCCGAGTGCAGTCGCTCCCCACCGCAAGCCCATGCCACACCTGCCCAGTGCCACCTTTGTGACTTTGTGCCACGTGCTTCTGCTGCTTGTACTAGTATACTTTTAAATATTTTTCTTTAAATGGACTGGTGTCCAAATAAAGTACATTTCTTGTAGATAGGAACTGGTATGTTTCAATTGTCAATGAAAACCCAGTTTTTTTTGTGTGGAGTGGAAAATAGATGCAATAGGAATAGGAGCCAATAATTCCAGGTAGAAAATGCTGCCCGCCAAAGGGTCTCTGTCTGTGAAAAGGGAGGCATCAAATCCATGCTGGCCCCAAACAGAGACTTTCTGTTGACGTCCCTAGGAGAATGGATGAAGAATTGGAAAGGGAATTATATTCTCACCAGAAGATTCCATGGCACTTAAAACCCTGGCTAACTCTCCCTCTCTAAGTGGTGGATGATCCCGCCCGTGGAACAGCACATGAGTGCAGGGCTGCCATAAATGATGGGGCAGGTGCTTGGCTAGGGGTGAGCAGGGCTGCCCTTCCTCATCCATGCGCAGACGTCATATGGGCTGGTGGTGGTCTTCTCTCTCCTTTCTCTTTAACCATCCGCACGCATCCAGAGGCCAGCAGCTGCCCCTGTAGCACAGTACTTGCTCTCATTTGCCGACCATGCCCTCGTGTGTCCTCTACAAGCTCAAATCTTCAGAATTTTTACCAGAACCTGTCGGGAAGGACACCTCCATTTACAGAGGAGGAAACAAAGGCCTGTGCCTTCCACTTCTTGATGTGTCCCTGGGTTCCCTTCATGGCATCCTGCAAATAGTATTTGCACCTGGGGTGACAGGTTAAATAAACAGCATTCACATACCTTCCCTAAATTACATTGTCCTTATGATTTATTGGGCAACCTGGCACATTATAATTGGCTGCAAAGCACAAACTATCTTAGATAGCACCATTGGTAGGGTCCATTGCCTGCTTTATTTTCTTTGCAATTTTATTTCTTTATTGAAGGGCCTCTACGAAAATAATAGAAACCTCAAGCAAAAGCCTCACATCCCTAAACTGAAACAGCTTCATTTGTCTGTCGCCTTCTAGACCTTGTCCACGTGCATATTCAACTCGTGGGTACCTCTGTCATCATTGTTAGAAGTTCGAACCTGCATCTTCAAGTCATATTAGGTCACACACGCCATTTTGCTGCAGCCTTTTTTTCCTTGCATCTCTCCACCTTTCCTTTTTCACTCCTACGTTCTCCCCCCGCCCCCTTATCATAATGCTCATTTTTGTTTGCATGTGAGAGTGTGAGCAAGGGAAGCATGCTGAAGGACACTCACAGCTGCTTTGTTTCCAACTGGAGGGACATGCATTGTCTTTTGGGTAAACCGTCGTTTCCCCCCAGGATATAAATGAAGTGCTGCCACCTCCAGCACATGCATCAGACCAAGCACATTTTGTCCGGGACTCCAGTGAGTTACAGAAGTTCACTGCCTGCTGTGGTCATCTCACTAATGATTGACTGTTCCCTTATAAGTGGCCTTTCTAGAAGATTCTGTGATACTGGTGGAATGAACACATAGTCAGTAAAGACCTTCTCATCTATCCAGCTAGCTATTGTCATCATTGAGTGTTATTAGGAGTTATTTGGTAGTTCTGATCCAATGTGGCACCTTTTAGGACACTCACAAATGAGTATGTTTTCTTATGTCCACCCAAGGGCGCCAGTGATCATCTCTAAGAGTCAGAGCTCATGGCTTTGAGCCTGACCCAAGTCTAGCCCAGTGACTTCACACCTCTTGCCAAAATGAGCTCTGAGTCCCCTGGCCCCATGTCCTTACGTAGTCTATGTACAAATTCTAGAACGATTGCTTTTCTTTGTAAAATGATTTTTCTGAAATAATTTTCAGACTCACAAGAACTTATAAACACAGTCCAGAGAGTTCCTGTGTGACCTGCCCACAGGGAAGCCTCTCACGTAACCACAGTACATTACCAAACCCAGATTGCTGACTTGGGCACCACACTCTTAATGCAGGTCTCAAACACAGACCTCCAACGTCACTAGTGTATCTAGCTATTATTTTAGCAACAAAAAAAAATACTTTTTCTGACAAAAACTAAAAACGGTATTCACAGTTTTTATGATGGAAAGCTTCTAAAAAAAGAATTCAAGACCTCTATAATTTCATTATCATTTCTCAGCCTGTGTTTAAGCTAAGATAGAAATGTACTGTTCTGTTTTGCACAGAGATGATGCCACTAACCCACCCTTCAAGGGTTGTGCATTGAGAGGTGTGTCCCTCTGGTCCTGGTGGGACCAGTGTTCTGGGCATGGAACCTGGTCAATAGCACAGGCCCTGAGGCTCAAAAGGACCCTGTTCTTGGCTTAATGCTCTACTGTCATTATCTTGAACTTGTTAATATTGGGACAGGGGGCCCTGCATTCTCATTTTGTACTGGGTCCTGCAAATTATGTAGCTGATCTTGTCCCTAGGGGTGGACGTGCCTCATTCACAAATGCTGAGGCCATGCCCATGGCACAAGGAGTCTTACTAAGCTTTTGTGGACCCAAAACAGGGCTTGCAAATCACATTGCCATGCTCCATCCCTGTAAAGAAGCTGTCAAGCTTGCCCATGGATCTTTGCCAGGACGACCTACACGATCTTTATAACTTCCATATATTTTGTGCAGAAAGAAAAGGCAATGTGATTGGAAGGATTTCTAGTGATGTGCTTGCAGGGTCTCCTCCTCTCTCTTCTACCACACGCAGGTGATGCGTGACCAAGCTGCCCTCGATCCTACTCTCCCTCAAGGAGAGCTCTGACCACCCTCCATCTGGACGGTGCCCCCATCTTCTGGCCAGCAGAGGCCGTTGATGGGGAGTTCGAGGAGGGCTCCTCAGAGGGGTTAAGGCTCTACCCCTTTGCTTTGCAGGTTTACCTGGATACCAGGGTGCCCAGACAACCCTTGGAAGTGAGGGCAGGAGTGATGGCGGAGATCCTGCATCAGGTAGAGGCTTCCCCGTGTCGGCGTCCGCATCCGGGCCCAGCTGGGGGTGCTTCCCCTAAACCGCTGTTGCTGTCAGCTGGGGCTGCAGCCACAACAGACCGAGGCTTACACAGGCCTGCTTCTCACAGTCCTGGGCCTGGGGCCTGAGATCGGGGGCCAGCAGGGGCGGGTGCTGTAAGAGTCTTCCTGCTCCACAAATGGTCACTTTCTTGCTGTGTCCTCACATGGCAGAGAGACACCCGTCTCTTCTTAAGGGGCACTAATCTTATCACAAGGACCCCACCCTCATGACCTCATCTAAACCTAATTATCTCCCAAAGGCCCCACCTCCAAATACCATTCCAGGGTGGGCGGGGCTTCAGTGTAGGACTTTGGGAGGCACGCTTGGGTCCAGGGCAAGCACTTTCATGGGATCAAGTTCCAGGGGCTATTTCCGCAGAACACGACCCAAGACAAGAGTGAAAGGTCTCTTTCTGGGGAATCATGAACCACGTGGTTGACGAGGCTTAGGGATTGTTGGTGATAACATTAGCTCTCTCCTGGAAGCTCCTCAGCACAGGCAGTGGGCAGTTGGGCAAAGCCATGGGTGATTCCAGAGGAGGAGCCTGAGGAGAGCCGTGTCACTGAGGGTGAGCTCTGTGCTCCCCACTCGGGGATGCGGGGAGCACACAGATGCAGCAGATGCGACTTCTGACTCCCAGGGGCTCCATGTGTTGTTGCAGGAAAGCTGGGGCTCAGCCCCGTGGTAGTGGAAGTGCAGAGGAGTAGGTCAAGGTTAGTGGGCCCATCTGCGGAGACTGACTTAGTTGGCAAGCGCATCTCTAAGGGATTGAAAGATACTAACTCATTCAGTCTTCGCATCAGCCCGCCTGGGCTGGAGCTATCCTTTTCCTCACCTATAAAAGGTGGAAACCGGGGACGGAGAAATTAGGTGACATGTCCAAGGTCACAGACATAGAGCGTGGTGGAAATGGGGCCAAATGCAGGGGCCCGGGCTCCTGGGTGTGAGCACTTGGGGAGCTTGTTCAAGAGCGTTGCTCCCAGGCCCCAACTCTGCGGACCCTGCATTTGTGGGTCTGGGTGCTCAGCAGAGTGTCTGACCTGAGGTCCTGGGACCCCGTTTTGTGAAATCCAACGACCCTTCCCATGGCTGTCAGAGTGGGCAGCAGACAGGTGCCAGGTGGTACAGCTTGAGGGAGTGAGATGCAGATGGTGGCGGGGTAGAGAGCCCCCATGTCACCTCCTCCTGGGCCTGTCCTGGTGCCTGGGGGTTGGGGGGGGGCGCTCTGTGCCTCAGTGACAACCCTGAGGTCGGTGTGGACTTGGTCCCTCCACGCACCTGCTCCCAAGTCCTGCAGAGTGGACAGTGCTGAGTGGCTGCTCAAAAAACCACTGTCCCCAAGTCCAGAAGCAACCCTGAACCCAGAGAGCCCGGGCCCTGCAGACCTGCTGCCTGATCCCGCTGCAGTGTCAGGCAGTGCCTGGTCCTCAGCTCCCATCTGTAAAGGAGGGTGGGGACATCCCCCTGCATCAGGGGCGATTCTGTGCACACGGGTGTGAGGTAGCCGCATAAGCACAGCACGACATTGTCACACGGCATCTGGGTTGCCCCTCCTCCCGCCTGTGCACCCCCAAACAGCTGAGCCGGGTGGGCCTGGTGGCTCAGGAGCAGGGCCTGCCCAGAAAGGAGAGGCTGCAGCAGGCGAGGCTGGCACAGAACAGAGGAGAGGCCTGGTTCTCCCCTTGGGAGCTTTCTACTTTGTTGGAGGTTTATGATGAATTATTGATCTTAGGGGGACTCTAAAATTGCTGACTCGGTGCAGAAACCAGCACTCATCAGCCAGGATGCTGAGCTGGGATCTGCCCGGCACAGCCGCTGCGGCGTGTCTGCCTCTGTACCCAGCCTCGTCATTAATGATCCACTCGCTGCACCAAGGATGGGCCAGGATGCGGGCAACTACTGGCCACTGTCCAGAGCTGCCTCTCCTGCCCCACCCCCTCGGGTACATGCCGCAGTAGCCTCAGTCCCCGAATACGTGGACCCAGGCAACGGGCAGATGCAGGGGGGAGGTTCCCATGTTCACCTGTGGGCACCAGTAACCACAGGGCCATGGTGTTTCCAGTTAAACAGGGAGCCTTGGAGTGGCTCCTGCAGCCAGCGGAAGGTGGGGACAGCCGGCAGCCGATCGAGGGGAGGGCACGGCTGAGAGCTCCGTGGGCTCTGGGGCTTCTCGGCTTCCTCTTTCCAGGCCTTGCCCCACCGCCTGCCTCCTCCAGCTCTGAGATGTTTGATTCTGAGCGTCTTCAGGCCCTGGGTGAGCTCACCCCTCGGGCCACTGTTAGCTAGTGATGGTCAGAGGTCCTTGCTGACCCATTGCAACTGAGATGCATTAACTGGCTCAGATTTGCACCAGCCCCTCCCAGAGGTGTCTGAAGGTACACGGGGGGAAGCCCTTTAACCTCGGCCGTCGGTCCATCCACCCAACAAACATTTATGGAGTCACTCAGACCAGAAAAACACAGAAAACTCTTCACAGAGCGATGGCGTGGGCCTGTAGGAGCTGGAGTTTGCTGAGTGGAGGCTGGCAGTTGGGCATGGTCATTTGGGAAGGGAACAGCAGGTGTCGGGGCACAGGTGGTGGAGAGATGAACCCCCAGAATAAATCCACTAGAGGGCGGGGCACTGCTGAGGGCCATCATACGTCCTCCCAGGACTTAGCTGGAAAGTGTGATGGCACTCCTTCCCCTCATTTGGCTGCCACCGCTGAGTCCGTAGCACCGTCTGTTATGGCGGGGACAGAGGGGTGGCCCACCGTATCCTCATAACCTGGAGCTGAGGCGTCCCTCATGGAGCTGCAGGAACGAGCCCTGTGGGGAAGAACCTGGCCTTCACCTCCTCTAAGCTCAGTGGGCTCCATGTGCTGGCCGCAGACCCCGGGTCCCTGCCTCACATCTACATGGAGGAGGGGGAGCTAGAAGGGGCAGAAAGTCTGAGCTCACTTGCCTTCTCAGAGCATACACCGTCACTGCCCAGCCTGCTGGACTGGCTGGGGCCCAGGCCTGAAGACATGCATCCCAGAGCATCTCCTAAAAGTGCAAGACATTATGGTCCATTGAAATAATCCTCCCTCCCTTCCTCCCTCCCTCCCTCCTTTCTTCCTTCCTTCCTCCTTTCTTTCTTTCTTTCTTTCTTCCTTCCTTCCTTTCTTTCTTTCTTTCTTTCTTTCTTTCTTTCTTTCTTTCTTCCTTTCTTCCTTTCTTCCTTTCTTCTTTCTTTCCTTCCTCCTAGTCTTAGAATCAGGATAGACTCTGAGTTCAGATTAGATGCTTTGATATTCTCAGGCCCCACACCTTGAACCAAAATAGCAGGTTATGCTTTTTTAAAAATTTGATTCGTCAGATAGATTTTCCAGAGAAGCTTTTAAATTAAACTTGAATATAATTTCTTGCTTCCATTAGCAGCCCAGCTCAGAACGAAGATGAAATATAATCTATAGGTTAACCAGCAATTTGTTAATAACAGGTAATATTGGGGGTGAAATGAAAATACATTTTAGTGATTATACATATTTCTGTAATTATGATTCTGTTTCAGTTTAAGTGAAAAAACAGGTAAATAGGGAAATATTTTCTAGAAGATTAGTGCTCAGTATTTTTAGTGATTAAAAAAATAAATAGTTTTTTATTTTCCAGTTTTTTAGTAGACATAAATAAAATATTATGAAAGAAATGATTATGCTTACAGCTGTATAAGCAGTGCATACTTTAAAAATGAACAGACATAATTTAACTTGCATGGATTATTTAAGCAAAATCATTTAGTAGCCTTTGACGAATAAATTCCAATTAGATTGTATCTTTTTAAAAATAGATTTTTATTTTTCAATTACAGTGGACAGACAATACTGTATTTGTTTCAGGTGTGTACCCCAGTCCCTCAATACTCACACCCACCTGACATCATACCTGGGGATTCGAATATCACTGACTGTACTCCCCCTGCTGTGCCCTACCCCCATGGCTACACAATGATTTCTCAGTTGTCCTTCTAAACCCCTTCCCTTTTCTCACCCATCCCCCACCCCTTCCGATCTGGCAACTGTCAAAATGTTCTCTGTATCTATGAGTCTCTTTCTGTTCTGCCCGTTCATTTATTTTGACTTTTAGATTCAATTGTTGATAGATATGTATTTATTGCCATTTTATTGTTCATATGTTTTATCTTTATTTCTTCTTTTTCTTAAAGAAGACATTTCATGTTACTCCAATTACATTGTATCTTTAAACGAAATCACAAGCCTAATTGATTTTTTACTTGTCCACTTACTGCTAGGATAAGTGTCGGGGAGAGATGGCTTCTTTTAAAAAGGTTAAAAAGGGTTAACAGTAGGACATGAGCTCCACAAAGTCAGTTTCCTGGTCTGAGCAATAGATGAGAGTCTGGCTCAGCAAAATGCTAAATGCTCTCAGGACACTCGCATGCACACATCGTAGACCTAAAAGGCGACAGGGAATAGGGAAACCTTACATGATTGATGAGCGTGACCTGTGAGTGCCCTCCGGCACCCTGGGATGAACGGGTGAAATCTATTAAACGTCGTTTTAGCAGACTCGGGGTTAAAACCTCCTCTTTCTTATGAGGAAGGGGTGGGAACATTTACTGCAAAGCCTCGGTGTTTGTACACGGTTTCCTCACTCCTCACCTGGGGCCCTGGATCGCCCATCTGACCCTAGAGCTGCTGCTCGAACACTGGGGCTGCCAGGAGAATCGAAGACATTTCTGGGTTATTCCTGATAAAAGTGCTTTTCTGAAAAGTGTAGTTTTTGAGTGTGAAGTGTTGGCAGGGAGCGGTAGGTGGTCTTAGGCCTTCCTGGATCTGAGGCAAGGGATAGAATGATCTGCCGCCCCCTCCCCCCCTGTTTTGTGAATAAAGTTTTATTGGCGCCCAGCCATGCTCGTGTATCATTTATGTGCCACCGATGACTGCTCCGTGCTGTCACAGCAGGGCTGTTAGTCACAACACAGACCCTCTGTTCCCACAAAGCCAGACCTGTTTCCTTTCTGGCTCTTCACAGAAAAAAGAGTGCCAGCCCTTGCTGAAGGCATTCTTTTTGGAAACCTCCCATGGAATCAATAGGTGCAGACGGATCCACAGCTCTGCGTTACAAACAGACCACGCCGTACAGATGGGAAGGTTAGGAGGAAGTTGGCTTTGGCTGCGGGCAGCTGGTGGGTGGTGAATCCTGGCTGCTGTGCATTCCT